AAAAAAAAACCGTATATTTATACAGCATAGTCATTTTATTAAGTATGTTTTTCTTTTCTTCATGTTTTTTCCAAGCATAGCTCAATATTTTTGTTTCCAAGACATTGTTCGAATACATCACGTATTTTCATGCTAGTTTATATTACTTTTCCCTTTTCTTCTGATCATACTGTAATGCTTAAATTTATGTATGCTTATTTGTAAAGTGCTCTTCATAAATCACTTGATCACTTTTTCGTCACTTTGGGCCACCTCATCCTCACGTGTGATCAATTGTGATCTTTTTGGACCTCATCTCGCTTTCTATTTGGGTGTGAAAGTGATTGTGGCTGGGATGGATGGGTTCGATGCATTTAGTATCATTTATGGTCCAATGATAGTAGATATTAGGGTGGGTGTGTGCCTGGGTCTGGAATTTCACTTCAATAACACCCGCACTCCATCCCAAAAAATGAGAAGTCAAATAAACTGGTATACAAATGAATATGTAGAAGAAATTGAGACGATTAAATAAAGAGGTCAACTAAAGGCTCGAAAATATTTTTATCAGAGAAATCACTCCATGAGATGGGATGATTTTTTTCATCCTATCCCATGTTTAGCTGGGTGTGTGGGTGTGGGTGTGGGTGGGTGTGGGTAGGTGTGGGGTGTGGGTGTGAATGAGGAAAAAATGAACATCCAAACCCATACCCATACACACATCCGCACCCTTCTTTTTGTTTGACCCCATGATGGTGATGGTCAGATCATCAGCAAAGAGATGAGTTGACATGTTCATAAACTGTTGAGGAAGGTAGTGCACATGCAGGAAGAAATAACGTGGCCGCTAGTACTAACCCTTGCGGAGTTCCTACAAAACGTTCTATAGAGCGAGATACGGTATTTCCATAATGAATCGACATGGTTCGTTCTTGCGGCCATGAGTAAATCCATCTTATTGTTAGAAGTTGGCAATCAAGTTTAATAAGGTGTTTAATCAACATAGGATGCCAGATTCGATCGAGTGCACTTAAAAAATCGACAAAAATGACTAGAGCGGGACGATTACAGGCTGACACGATTAAACGAAGATCTTCAACCAGTGTCAGGATTCTTGTTTGAAGTCTTCTCTCTGGGGTGAAACCGGACTGTTCATCGACGTAAATTCCCTTCTCTTTGCACCATTTCAACAATCGTTTATGAATAATTTTTCGAATAACTTGCCGATATTTGATATGAGAGAGATGGGTTTCAACTTGTTGACTGTGGGATACATCCTTTCTTTTGAAATGCCTATGACCTTCGCGTGTTTACTGTGCTTTAAATAGGTACCTGCTTCAGCCAGTTTATTAAATCGAACTGTTATGATCTTCAACAACTCCTTGGGTATTTGTTTCAAATGAAAGGCCGATATTCCATCACTATCAGTTGAGTTTTTGTTCTGTGTACGTTTCAAGGCTGAATGAACTTCTTCTATTGAAATTTGTTCCAGGGAAATATTTGGTAGTTTTGAGATGTTTGTGTAAGCTTCCATTATTTCTGCATGTGCCAATATTCCAGGATCAGGAGTTGGAGCTTCGAAATGTTTTTCGTAATGATCAGCTAGAGTATCAACAATCATTTGCGGATTTTTTATTATACCTTGCTGGGTAGTAAGTCCACTTAATGAGGGTGAAAATGGATGAAAGACTGGATGTACAAATTTCCAGATATTATTTCCTTGAGAGATCCAAGCTAGTTGATTTTCTGCTTGTTTTCGTTGGTATAAGCACCTTTCGTTTGTGTATAAGTTTTTCCAATATAGATATTCTTCTAGATCTTGTAGCACTCTCGTTTTTCGATATTTTTTACGCATTTTGTTTTGTTTCTTTGCAAGTGCAACTAGGTATGGAGGCCACGGAGATCTGCATTTTGCAACCGGTAGGTATTCACTTACACGATCGGATAATGAAGAAAGTAGGAGAGAGAATAGATAGAAAAATTCCTCAGCATCCGTATTGTAAACCACCACATTCAGATGCGCACAAATATTTTGTAAGAAATAGTGGTACATGTTCCAATTTGTCTTCTTGAAGTATCTCTTTTCGGATATTGAGAATGGTGCTTCAAAGTACACTGGATAATGATCTGATGTTCCTTCTACTATTGTTTCAGATCTCCATCTTGTAGCATCATTCGTAATCGCGAAGTCAATAACGGCATCTGATCTTTTTGACGTTGTTTTAATCGGTGCAATTAGTTGATAACCTTTTTCATCAAGTCAACATTTCAATTCGTTTCCACTGGTATTGTTTGTGTTACACATCCATTGCGAATGTTTGGCGTTATAATCGCCGAATTTGCAAAAGTTCTTGGATACATGCGTTTCAAGTAAGTTAAATAGAATACTATTACCTGGTGGAACGGAAATAGCGCCAATTAGCACCGTTTCGGATAGGATCGTTAATTCGATTAGAATAAAATTTGTTTCTTGTGAGATTATTTCAGTTTTCAGTGAATTATGAATAATAATGGCAACGCCGCCAAAAGCGTTAGTACCTTTTTGACAAATCCAATTATAAAAAGGTATCCGTGGAGGATTTTTTATTCTCGCACCAGCATCTGTTAAAATACAGATTTGGGGGGGGGGGGGGGGTGGTGTTGGTTGTAAAGGGGGCGGGGGGGGGAGCGGGGGGCC